TGAATCTGACCTCTAAACACTGATGGACCAGGACTCTGTCCTCAGTCCTCTTCTCAAGCCTCATGCTCCCATTCTCACCCCTCGTGATGTTATCTGGTCCTGTGGTTTTAAATCCCACGTGCTGATTCAGGTCCTTCCAGCGAATTTCACCCAAGCTCGAAAGCGGAGAGCCTTACTGAGCAACTGGAGTGCTTACCTGACATCTCCACTTTCCTTTTTACAGATTTATTTATCCGAGGAAGAGAACATGGTGGGCGGGAGCAGCAGAGGGAGAAGGAGAGAAGCAGACTCCCCACCGAGCCCGGAGTCCCAACGCGGGGCTTGATCCCACAGCCCTGAGATCGTGACTGGAGCCAAAATCAAGAGTCCGACACTTAACCTACGGAGCCACCCAGGTGCCCCTCCACTTGGGTGTCTATTATTTGAATCTAACATGACCAACACAAAAATTCTTGATTTTCGTTCCCCGGATCCCAAACCCTGTCCCTTCCTTCCCCAGTTCTCACCATCTCAGCAGATGGTACCTGGACTCTATCTAGAGGCTCAGGCCCCAAACCAAAGTGTCATTCTTTTTTTCTTTTTCTCACTGAGGTATAATTAATATTACACACACACACACATACACACACACACACACACACACACACACACACACTATAATATTAGTTTCAGGTATGCAACATAATAATTGTCTATTTGTATTTATTGTGATACGATCACCACAAATTTAGTTAATGTCTGCCACCATACACAGTGATAACAAATTTTTTTTCCTGTGATGAGAACTTTTTAAGATCTACTCTCTCAGCAACTTTCAAATATGCAATGCAGTATTTTTTTTTAATATTGTATTTATTTATTTGACAGAGATCACAAGGAGGCAGAGAGGCAGGCAGAGAGAGAGAGGGGGAAGCAGGCTCCCTGCTGAGCAGAGAGCCCGATGCGGGGCTTGATCCCAGGATCCTGGGATCATGACCTGAGCCAAAGACAGAGGCTTTAATCCACTGAGCCACCCAGGCACCCCTGCAATGCAGTATTTTTGATCTTAGTCACTGTGCTGTAATTACGTCCTCATGATTTACTTATTTTATAGCTGGCAGTTTGTACCTTTTAATCCCCTTCACTCATTTCACCTCTTGAACAGGCCAAATTTGATCCTGCTAGGGGCCCTCACACTCGGCTCCCTCAGCCTGGAACATTCCCTCCCCTGGATCTTCAATGAGCAGCTTATGTATAACAAGCCTGGGCTTGGGGTATTTTGTTGATTTACCACTGGAGGGGGCTGTCTGGCAGGTAATTGTGAACCAACCTCAGAAGGCAGAGGGTTACATTACCACAGGTATGTGCTAAGGAGGATGGAAGAGCTGGTGTTACCTGAGGAGTAGCAATCACTGACAGGACACAGATGTTTGCCCTTTCCCTCTTTCTCTGCTCCACTCTAGCCCACTGGAGGAGATGGATCTGAAGACAGAGGATCTTTGAATCAGATAGGAGGGTTTTAAGTCTTAAATTAAACTGCACTGAGATTTATTCACCGAAAGGAACCAGGCAACTATGGAATCAGTCTGCCCAACTCCAAGGCTATCATGTTCCCACAGCAGTCTGATGTCCTAGCTCTTAGCCTTATTTATTCTATTCCTGGAAGCTGGTTTCTTTCTTCCTCTGGGCTAACAGCAGACTATAAACTGATATGTTATCTGCTAGAAATGGTCCGTGTTTACCACCTATCTGCTCTAAATGCCAGCCCAGCAAAAAAAATTTTTAATACCCTTCCTCCATTGGAAGCCCTCTAAATGCTGCTCCAGGCAAAGGCGGCATGCAGGAGGAACCCCATGACAGCCCAGGTATGAGACAGGCAGGAAGCTGCAGCCTCGCCATTGCTCCGAGGTTACCAAAATGGCTGTCGGTCTGCATTCCTTCCAGACAGTGCTCTGAAGGGCTTACCAGTTAGAGTGGAGCAGACATGCTGGATTTCCAGGGACACACCTGGTATATGCCTGCTGTCCTAAACCATTATTCACAGACTTCCCATTCAGGCTCAAAAAAACTCCATTCTAGATAAAATAAATGGACGTTCTACCAAGTAGAAATAAACTGACAGTGGCAACCTTAAGGCATCCTTGAGTTGGTTCGTAACAAGGACTAAGAGGGCCAGGCATGAAAAGAACTCAGACAAATCAAGGAGAGCCAGGCCTGGGCAAAGCCTATCTACTAGCCTCCCTAGTCTAGGACAGTGACCAGCCTCTTGAAAGGAAGTGCCAAGGACTGGGGTCATAACTCCCCCGGCTGACTCTCTACCCTTCAGCATCATGTGTCGTCCTTGACAAGCTCTGGACCAGAGACTCCGGTAGGTGTTAGAGAGAGATTGCTACCTTAAATACTGCCTGGTGTCCCCGGGGGCTTGCCCTGGCTAGGGACACGGGGTCACACAAAGACAAGACCATGATCTTGAGGTTCCAACTTGCTTTCCAGTCATTTTAAATCCACTTTCAGTCCAAAAGAACTAACGAAAAAAGAAAAACACCTGCAACTCCACTACTGGCTGGCTCATCTTTCTTTTCCTTTTTAGCCATATTTTTTTCATTCTTTTGGACTAGATCCTTTCTAAAATTCAAAATTCTGAATAAAGTCTATGGGGGAAAAATGTCCCGGATTCTGCCACAACTTTCTGATTCGCAGTGACAAATGATTTCCAAGTTTCTTCTCTCCCGTTTTACCCCTGGAACCTATCCCAATCTGGATCCCGTGTTGTGGCCACACCCCAAAGGCACCAATGCTTGATGCCACTAGCGGCTCATCATACTTTCTGCACAATCTCCTTGACCAGGGCTGCCACAGAGATCCCCACAATGTACTTATTAGACTACTAAATCGCTCATTGGCATTACATGAGAAAACAAGGGTTCAGTGATCAAAGGTCTTTATTGAAGTGCAGATTTTAAAACATTACCATGATTCTTTACTACAGGACTTCTTAGAGCTTTCAAAGTGCAAACAGGCAAGTGAATCCCTGCTGAGGAAAGGGAGTACCGGGAGGCAGCTCCCCCCCCCCCGCCCAATGGTGGTACCCTTTTTGTTCTTTGGAGACTGTCTGGAGGGATGAATATTTATGGCACATACTTTAGGAATGCCATTCTACTAGCCTTACTAGAAATACATCCCTACCACATATAACTAATACATGTAAAACACTAATTATATTAATTTCATGAGTCCGTTCTTTTTTTATTTCCAATTCCACAACAATCTGATGCCATGCTTCCTTTTATTACCACTGAAGAGATGGACACGTTGAGTTATTTTACCATCTAGGAGTTCTGTTGTACATAGCATGTGGGTATTTTTCTTCAGTAAATGACACCTATTTGAACTCAACATTGATATTACTTTGACTTTGTGCCACTGCCTACCTTTGGCAGAAGAAGTTTCAACTTTGCAAAATATCAAAATCAGGAAATCAGGTGCTTCACAAAAGGAGCATCTTTTTTTTTTTTTAATCAGTCTTGTCTAGGTGTTCAGTGAACGTCTTTTCGCATCATCAAGAGCAAAAATAAACCCCCCCAAATACCAAACACAGGGAGGCAGACCTCTCTTCTTCCTCACGCTCAGTTCCTGCTAGATTTCAAAGCAAACTGTACTGGGACTCAGAAGAACCCCAGCCGCCTTACCTCTCTTTGTTATGCATGATATATCTTATGTGATTTGAAGAAAGCACTGTGGCTGTCCATTTCTTGAATGTCTTATCAGGATTCTTCTTCTGAAAAGCTCAGGAAACCCAAGCCAAAAGCCACCCGGAGAAAGTTGAAGCTTCAGTGCCATATCTGAATGTCCTTGCAGAGCGTTACAGTTCAGGCTGATTATGACCTAAGGTACAAGCCCAGCAGACGTCGTCTGTCCTGTAATCCCTTTGCTCTTCTGCTCCCCCCTCCCCCTACCCCAGACATTTAGGAAGACGCGCTCAGGCTAAGAGGCATAAAATGAGGACATAAAATAAGTCACATTCTTTTCTTTATAAACTGTGATTATCCTATGGGTAAAACATTCATACAGACGTCTGCTGGAGCGGGAATTCTGATCCACTTTGCATTCTCCCGACTTCCATCTTTACTACTGGTGTTTGATTGTTATGTGCCTGTAGCCTCAAGTAACCCAGTAAAAGAGGCCCTTTAAAGCCAGTTGGGCGGGGGGGAATGTCCTCTTGGTTTTTCTTAAAGAACCGTCCAAATATTTTTACTATAATAAGTTAAGTCAAGGAGAGAAGTTTCCGAATCGCTCAAGTCCATCACTCCCTGAAAGCACACTGAAAACTGTAGAACAATTCTGATTCAGCTGTGGGCCTGTGCCAGGCTCCAGACAAGGGCTCAGTCTGGTGTGACATCTGCCATACTATGTGTCCATTGCTCTCTGGAATTTAATTCATTTGCAATCACTCCATCCAAATGATAAAACATGAGATGTGCTATACTCTGGGGGTAAAATGAAATGATTGTTTTTAGTGGGACCACAACCATTCGCTGGGAAGCGATACACAGCTTTTTCTAATTGGGTCCTGATGATTGTCTTCTGGAAAAGAGCGAGTTCAAGGAACGTGAGTAAAATCCTGTGACGTGGAAGGCTGGGCATAAATGGTCTTGCCCTCTCTGGTGCATCACAAAGCTGACAAGGCCATAGGTTGGGTCTTCTCCAGAAGGACAGCAACAGTCTTTGGGAGGGAAACTACTTCAAAACTGCAAGCAACTTGGGATACTGACTTACTGTAAGACACAGTTTAAAAGGTGTACCAATATAGTCAACAGATTCTTTTACTTATCAAGGACTACTGTGCAAACACCTCCAAATCCAAAATATTATACCTGCCTGTTTATGAAGTATCATGAAGTTTCCTAAGAGTTGTATGGGGAACACTGCCCTCTGGAAATGTTAATGACTAGGCATTAAAAACAACAACAACAAAAAACCCCAAGATGAATCTCAGGAGAAAATACATATATATACACACATAAGAATTTAAGAATCTCTTATCTCCCGTATGCCACATATTTAATATAAACCTTTGAAACAAGTTCAGATGAAAAAAGTTCAAAGTTCTCCAAAAGTGAAAGATTAACTTACTTGCTAAATATTCCCTATTGTCCCAAACATCAATGTGGTGTGTTTGTTTGTTTTTATTTCTATGCAAAAGTATGCCTTTAAATTCCTTAAATGATGCAGGATACACAAACCAGTTTTCAAATCATAAAGCCAGGCATCTTGCAACTTTAAAAAGTTAGGTAAAAGGTATCATGACACATCACACGTGCAGATGCACACACACCCCAATGACAACATTTGGCCTCTCCTAAAATAAGTACACAAAGACCATCAAGGGTGGCCAGGAAGGAACCCTGCATCACCCCTCCCTGCAATCCAGGTAGTTTCCTTTAATCCAATAGCAGATCTGAGCATATTTGAGAGGGGTGATTCTAACGGCCACGTTGAAGTCCTGCGGAGAACCATTCATGTCTACCCACTGGTGCCCTGAAAAGATGCCAATAATTTTCCGCTCCCACTTCTGCTGCTGCCTCTTCCACATCCTCACATAGACCCCGGAGCCGCTGGCCCCGGGCTGGGCGTCGCACTGCTGGTAGAGCAGGTCATAGGTCTCGTCTTTGACATCACAGAAGCGGTACACCAAGTTGCCGGGTCGATCGTTGTCATACCCAGAGAAGTGGATCCTGCCCCCGGGCAGCTGCTTGGCCGGAGGGCTCACCCCAATCTTCATGAACTTTCTCTTGTGGGGTTTTTTGAGTTCTAGGAGGGCGTAGTCGTAATCCATGCCAATGTCGTTGGCATTGCCTTTGATCCAACCCTTGGGCACGTGGGTACGCTTCACCCGGATCCACTGAAACTTCATCTTCTCCGGCCCCGTGGAGCTTGAGCTGTTGGCCCCGCGACCGCTGTCTTTAAACTTGGGCTTCAGGAAGCCCACTCGAAGTTTCTGGGTCCCCTTCACATAGGTTTTCCCGTCGTGGATGCAATGGGCAGCTGTGAGGACGTGCTTCTCCGCCACCAGGGTGCCCGTGCAGCCCGTAGATAACTTCACTGATGTGGAGAAGGGGTAGTTGAGCAAGAAGTCCTTCCCGAAGATGCTGAATCTGCTGTCATAGCCATAAATCTGCCGCTTCCTCCGAGACCTTCCCGAAGACTCTTGGCCCCCGCCACTGCTGAGGACGTAAATGCCCACCTGCGTCTCCGTGCGGCTGCCGTTGGCATAGAGCGTCTCGTAAGACAGGTACTGCTTGGCCTCTTCGTAAGTGGGCAGCGGAGTCCCCTTATGACACTGGGGTCCGCACGAGGAGGACACATCCAATCTGGCTTCAGCCCCAAAGTCTGGCTTGCCCAGGTTGAGGGTGGACTGGGGCAAGACCACGGGGAGGCGGTAAGCAGGCCAAGTGGGTTTCCAGTGGGTGCCATAGGGGCTCACCTGCCCAACAGCACAGAGCAGGAGGAGGAAAAGGAAGAGGAGCCCTGGGATCCCCGCCATGCTGAGCACCACTCTGTAGGAACAAAGATAAGCAGGTCAGGAGGGCAAGGGGCTGAGCAGCGGCTGGCTGAGGAAACAGCCCTGCAGCATGCCTGTCATTGTTTCCAAGTCTGTGAACCCTCCTCAGGAATCAGGGTGTGGAGAGGAATCCCAAGATAATGGTCTCACTTACAATCCAAGGCTGAACCCGGGAACTTTCCCGTGCTCAAAATGAAACGGGGTGTTCATTCCCTTCTACGTTTCAGATGCCCCTCATGATGGCCCAGCGCGAGGTGGCGAGCAAACAGTCATTCGTCCCCAGAAGAGCTGCTCTGGCAGCCCCGGGTTCTGTGTGATGTCTGGCCTTCTTTGTGCTCGGTTCTAAACTTTTATTCTCTCCTACCTCCCTGGTCCACCTGCCCCTCTTTCCTTATTTCTGCCGTTCTCAGTACAGCCTGCGCTTGGAAAATCTTCAGTGCAACTTGCTCCTGTAAATTTCAACTACACAGTTAACTGAGGGACCGAGGCTTGGAGGAGGGATAGCTCCACAGCATGGCGCTTGCTGGGATTCCTATTGCTTCGAAATGGGGAGTGACTCCAAAGAGAGCATGAGACATTTTCTTTTTTTGAAAAAATTTTTAAAGATTTTATTTATTTATTTGACAGAGAGAAACCCAGCGAGAGAGGGAACACAAGCAAGAGGAGTGGGAAAGGGAGTAGCAGGCTTCCCACTGAGCAGGGAGCCAGATGCGGGGCTCGATCCAGGACCCAGGGAACATGACCTGAGGGGAAAGTGGACACTTAATGACTGAGCCACCCAGGAACCCTTTTTTTTTTTTTTTTAATTTAAAACAACCTTAACTATTATGAATTTAGTTCCAGAGTCATCAGGCCTCTAGCAAACAAGATATTCCTTCTTCCTTTGGATTCTGTGGCCTGCTAACAGAATCTCTGTCAAAGATCTGAAGCTCTAACGTAGCATCAGGTATCACATTGTGAGCTTTACTGCTGGTTACTTTTCAGGTCTTTGTATCTATGTTCCTGGCTCCACTGAATGCCTTGAATTTGGCCCTATGCTAATGCTCGCTCAACAAAGATTTATTGAGTGGATTTACTGAATGAGTACTTGTATTCATGGAAGAGTGAGTTAGTGATTCGTGTAGCTACAAAAACCACATTTCTGGAACGATGCATGCTGAGTGCTAATGACAGAGATGTATGTGGATGATGGGGTGGCTCGGGGAAAAGGGCATGGAATCCAGGTGTGAGGAGGATCAAGAACAGGGGAGCCATTCCAGGGAAGGTGATGCTTGAGGTGGGTGGTGAAGGTGAGGAGAAGTTAGATAATCTAAGACAGGGTGAAGGGGACACTTCGAGAGAGGGGACGGTAGTACGCAAAGACACGGAGACGTGCAACCGTGCAAGTCATTTCAGAAACTGTACTTAGCTCAGCAAAGGTGGGAGAGGTGGGGGGCAAGAACCATATTACGTAAGACTGTGTATACTAACTGAAGAAGTTTAGATTTTCTCCTGAAATGTATGTTCAAAGAGCTGGATCAATCATCCCACCAGACAAACAACAATGAAAAATGAGATTGGGAAGTACTCCCATAAACATTCAAGGACCAGCTGGCTCTGACTGGCTGTGGATCTTCTGTTCAGGAAAAGCTGATGTAGCAGGTAAGGTAATGAGTTCATGGTGAAGTTTTCCTGAAAGGAGGACATGGAAGGGTTAGGTCTCCTAGGCTCTGGCACCTGGCAGGAGTCAGGAAGAAGCCATCTCCTTGTTCCCATTCTCTTTCTCTTGAGAGCACAGACCTGCTGGCAGCTTTTGGGTACCTTTTGCTTTCTTTTACATAAAACTGGTAAATCCCATCGATCTGATCTAGTCCAGCTGAGCATGCCAACCCACATTCCCAATATCTACACACGATATTACTAAGAGGTGTGCTTATCCGCCCCCTTTTCTGAGATCTTTTTGCTTGGCTCCTTCTCTCTGATTCCACTTCTGTTAGAGAAAACAGGGATAGGATAAAAAAGGAATGAGCTCCCAGAAAAGGTAATTCCTTGGCTCTTCCTGATTCTTTGAAATTGTTTCTTTCCCTTTTGCCAAACAGGAAGAGTCTCTTGGCTCTTCTGCAGGAAGGTAATACATCTAGTGGTTTCTCCAAATCCTTGAAACCCTGGGGAACGTGTGTATGTGCACATACGTGTTTGCATGTGCTTGCTGGTGGGGAGGGTAGATACCATCATGACTAAAGGCTCTAAGTGGATGAGGGAGGGGATGCTAATGCTAGGAAAGCCTTCCTCCCTAATGGGGACTTCCCCGGTGGGCTAGTTGTGGTGAGGACAACCCTTTAGGAAACTTCAGGAAACGGCTCTGTGTCTGATTATTCCCATCTCCTGGCTCAGGACCCAGTCCTTAAACATATGTCGGTCCTGGACAGCCTTTTTCTCTATAAGTTACTGTCTGAGTAACTAAATGCCCTCCACACTAGAATCCCTGCCAAGTGTGATATGTACTAGGAGGAATCCTGCATCTCCCACAGGGCTGTGTCTTGGACCCCTACACACCTTTGCCTCCTCCCTTAGATTACCGTGGAGAATGCTGATGCCTGCTAACATGGACCAGCAGATGTGTTAGGCCACCTTTGACTTCAGCTTATCTAAGAAAGAAAACACAGGATCCAGAGATCCAAGGATGTGATTCTTGAGAGAGAGAGAGAGAGAGAGAGAGAGAGAGAGGAGATGGTATTATGCTATGAGTTTTTGTAAACTGTAGGTAATCTTTTTGGTGTGCACGAAGAACAGGGACAGGGCGAGTAGAGCATGCTCCCATGGGCCACCATCTAGAGCATGCATCCTCAAGTCTCAAACTGGAAATTTACATGTGAACTGGATGCTGGAGTGCACTGCCTGAATGATCTACTGTAGCAGAATTCCTCCAGTGGCATCTCTTTATCCAAACATTGAAATAGTCCATTGGCAGGAGTGTCAGGGAAGAGAATGGCAGGAAAGAGTCTGCAATATTAACTAGGAACTGGGTCTTAATGAATTAACCTCCTCTTAGGCAAAATTAACTCTAATTTCACTTTCCCAAGTGCTTTGCCTCTACAGCAAACCCATTTAAAAAATATTTTCAGTCCTTGAAACGTTTCTTACCTCACAGTGAGGTCACAGATTTTTTTCTTTCTTTCTTTCTTTTTTTTTTTTTTTAAGGTCGGTCTTTTCAAAAAATGTTTTGGAACCAGCTCCCGAAAACATTTAGGAGAGTTAGGGGTCTGGAGAAATGGAGACAAGTTTTTTTGTGGGCATAAGGGCTGGGCAGTCAGTTAGGGTCTCTCACGGGCCACGGCCTCACTCGACTTCCTAAAATACAGGACTGAATTTGTTCCTCAGAGAGAGGACAAGTGACTGTGCCAAGAACTTTTGGGATCATTTATAAATCATACGATGCCGGTAGAGGATGCTAAAGAGAGTTTTATTAGGATATTAATATTCTCTAAGGAGTATCAATATCAATATTCTAGATAGCATATTATCTAACTAATACCTAACAGTCATTCAATGATATTACTAACTCGAGTCCTTACAACTTAAATTCTGATCATTTAGCCAGAGAAGGAGAAATCAGCCCAACTATAAGTAAAGGTCTGCTAAACCAACGAGGTAGTGTCAAGATATCATCCTTTAGGAATAAACTTTTTGGATCCCTTAAAAACAGAAACTTCCATTATTCAGAAACACTGCCTGCAGGTTCCCTATATTATTGCTTAAACTGAACTCATTAATTTGTGGTAAGACCTTGTTCTGATGGTTCATATCTTGATTAAATTCTCTTTGTAACTTTGAAAGCTATAAAATTGCATTAAAAAGACTTTAATTCATATTTAGAAATTAAAGCAGACTAATGCAGGTCAAATTCTTCCAAAGTGGTTAAGTTTGTTGTTATTATTATTTTTAAAATTTTACTGAAGTATAATTATATTAGTTTGAGGTATGCAACATAATGGTTTTTTAACTGACTATAAATTGGGAGATAAAGTTGTCTGTTCTCAGGCTCCCAAATGGGTTTAAGCTGACATCTGTATTAAGGTTATGTATTTCATAAACTGCTCACCCCTTTACCAGATGTGTGTTTAGGGTAGCTTAGAAATTATTCTGAGTAACAACCTGAATGGATGATCCCTTTAGTCTTTTTAGTGCTGGTCTTTTCAGACCCAGGATTTTCTAATTTTAGAATTTTCCAGGGTCACAAAAGCCCAGGGCAAGCACTCTGCTGTACACAAACAGGATCTGCACCATCATTTACTGTTTGGGAGCTACACGCACAGAATTCAGGAGGCCAGAGGCGGAGAGGAAGAGGAAAATTTATTTTGCTAATCTCTTGCCTATCTGCGAGACAAGATTTCCCTCCTCAGTTCTCCAAGGAAACAAAGGCCTCCAGCAGAGGGCGGCTTTCAAGAATGGTGTGGAAGGATGGCTGGGTGTGCAGGCTCTCAGAAAAGTGTGAGGGGGGAATCTCACCCATCAAGGCCCTTTCCCAAGGCAATCACACCCTACCCTGACTCCTTCCCCATTAATAAGACGCCAATGATAACCATGATGCTTTAAAATTAGGTTGGTGGCTTTGCATTAATTTCTCAACTCACCTGATGATAATTTCCTGAATAATTTCCCAGAAGACAAGTATTGTTTCCATTTTTATAAACTCTAAGCGAGCCTGCACTATGCCCATTTAAGTCTACTTAAACAAACACTGTAGGATAGAAACAGATATAATAACAACATTCATAATCTCACTGTTGGAAAGGAAACTAATGGATTCCATTACCTTGAAATTCTTTCTTGCCTTCACAAATAAGTCACCTTATCTTTACAGAGCTGTCTGAAATACGCACCCCTTAAAAAACAAAACAAACAAAAAAACCCAAAGATCTCCAAATCTTACCTTCCAAATCTTATTTTCATTTTATCTAACTCCAGATGAAAAAAATTCAAGTCTATAACATTTCATTTCTAGGAATAAGCCTTTACTGGATAAAGATTCCTCACATACATAATTATCTTGTAAAGTTCTCAACCAAGTATTCTCATGTATCACTTCACCTGAATGACAAAGCAGAACGGAAAATTAAGGTAAGTAAGTATTTTTTTTTTTAAACCATGCTTAGTAATACAGAAACGATTCCTTTTCCAACTCTGTATCTCTGACTGACAAGAGTTACACATTCTGTGCTCCAGCACTCAGCATGAGCCACTGTCCTGCTGTCCACCGTCTAAAAATATTTATACATTAGGAGGATGCTGCTACTTCACAAATCCACTAATAATCTAATGGTGAAGGGACTGTGCACATTGACGTACACACCACAGCCATCTGCTTAGAGGTTTGGGCACTGACACTTCTCTGCCCCAGAACTGCACCTTCGTCTTCAACACTGCAACAACCCAGCTCTCCTCAAGAGGGCAAGTGTTCGGGAGAATGACTAACTTCTCTAGCAAACAAGTGCTGGGAGAAGAGGAAGAAAAAAAAAAAAATCTAATCCTCAGGACATACATTCTCTATCATACAACAGATAAATTCCTGTGACCACTATAAACAGTAATGTCGAAACAAACAGTGGGCAAGTCTGTGGAGATAAAAGTTTTGGACACCATCTGGAAGGCTAACAAAAGGTTTTCCATGGAATCTGCGGCAGGAATACTGAACAGTGAAACCATGCTAATTCCTAAAGCAAATACCTAAAAATGAAAAAAGCTCTGTGAACCCTCTGCAGCCAGGCTTGGTCTCATTTTCCCGAGTCACAGAACCTGTTAAAGGAAAACAGACCTAATCACAGAATGGTTTAAGAATTACAGCCCGGACAGGAAAGAAATACAGGGCATTTACAAGCCTGGGCACCCTAAACATAATCTTGTGGTCAAACCAAGTTTAACTTCTTCTGTATCAACTTTTAGGCAAAATGAACTATCCTAGTGAGCTTGGGACAAACCGGGTGGCAGAACAAGGACAGAGTGTACCAAACTGTCAGTGGTGAGACCTGGAGAAAGGAATTCCCCATAGCCAGTGGGAGTTACGCATGAATAATGCCCGGTGGACTGAATCCTAAGGGATCTCTGAGAAGAAAACTATGTGGGAGAACCTGAACCTATTATACACTGCACACTGGGGCCAGTAATGTTCTCAGATCCACCAATGGGCACTGCAGTATTAATACTACAAACAGAAAAGTGCACCCAAATTCACCATCTACTTGAATGAAGTGTTGGTGTTACGAAAATGAGATCCATATTAGTTACCTGGCAAGAAAGCTTCCTTTCCAGCTCAGGTACAGGAAAGCATGACAGTGACTATTTACATGGGAAGAACACAAGTGAAACAATTTATTCGAATGCAGAAGGTCTACATATGATGAAACTTTCACAAGTAAACATAGTGGCTTTTGTAGCATTTCTCTTAAATTCCTTCCCCCATCAGGCTTCTTGAGAGACACAGTCCTTAGGTCTATTTTCAGTGCTTTTACACACAAGGAGGATCCTGAAACAAGGGCAATAAATATCCTCACTTTAACTGGCATTAGGCTTTGGCCACAGCTAACTTCAAACTATAAAGTCCACTCCTTCCCCTATGGCCACGTGAATATGACTGGCATTGGCCTGTCTGCTCCGAGGAGCACACAGGGAGGGACTCCTTAAGTCCAGTTTCGGGCGCTGAGGGAAGCCAGTCCATCCCCACACTGATCCCGAACAACCTGGAGCTTTCCACCAGCCAGGGGCTGTTTCTCTTTCTGAAGTCTCTTGGGTGTTGCCCGAAGGTTAATAAAACACCCGGAATTTTATCAGCTGCTTTTTCATAAGATGTTGGAAAGCAACCTTAATTTGTATTCCGGAGGGGAATGGTGGTTTTTCCTCACCAAAATAATAATTCTCCCTCCTCTTCGAAAACATTTTTTAAACTTTTCAAACTTTTATTTAAAAGTTAACTCGTTCCACAGGCCGAAGAAGAAATATTTGCTTCCAACGGTGGTGATAGTTCACAGTTTATAAGGAAGCACACGGCCATCAATTAAAGTTCCAGAGAAAAGATCCTAGTTCCTAACCTGTACTTGTTGCACTTTCCTTGCTGGCTAAGATGTGTTCACAATCACGTGCCCAGTTAAAAATTAATGTTCAGATCATGTTGGAATACATGTATGCAAAACCCCAGGAAAGTAAGTGCTGGTGGTGGGTGGGGGTGTGCGGGCGCGGAGGAGACGGGGTTGTTGTCATCGCTCAGCTGGCGGAGAGCTCACCCAGAGCCGGCTCTTCCCCTGCTCCCACCCAGCATCCAAGGCAGCACCCGTCTTTCCCATCCGCTGCCGGGTGACACTGAGAATGCAGGCGCCCTGCTGCCCCTGAGTCTCCGCGGAGCTCCTTCAGGCCGCGGGACCCAGCCCTCCAGCCCCGAGGGCGGCCGGGCGAAGTCCTCGGTGCCCCCCGCAGCCAGCAGTCACCCCACGCCGCGCGCACCGGCCCTTTGTCCCGCTGCTGTCGGCGCCGCGCTCCCCGCGAGTTCCGCGGTGTCCCGAGCCCGCGCCCGCACTCACCCGCGCCGAGCAGCCCGCAGGGGCTGCGGCTCACTGCGCGGCTCCAACAGGTGTGGGCGCCGGGAGGACGCGCGCGACTCCCATGCCTGCCCCGAGGCGCGACCGAGTGCGAGCTGGCGGGCGGGCGAGCGAGCAGCGCCGGCAGCGGGCGGGTCCGCCCCCCGCGCCTCCCGAGGCCCGCCCACCCCGCCTCGGGCCTCGGGGAAGCCGCGCGCCCGCCGCCCCCACCCCACCCCACCCCCCGCCCCAGCCCGCGCGTCCGCCCCAGCCCCCGCCCCTCGCCTCAGGCGGGAACTGAGGGCAGCCAGCCCCGGGGTTCCGCAGCCCTGCGGTCCGCGCAGGTGGGGCCCCGCTGCGCGTCGGCTCTCGCCGGTCTCGGCCTCTCGGCGCCAGTCCGCGCCGCTCTCGCGGAGGGCCAGCCCGGCCGGGGAGCGCGGCGCCTTCACCCTTCCGGCCCCGCGCACCCGCGGGGCTCGGCCGCAGCCTCTCGAGCGAGTCTCGGGCCTTCGCCGCCTGCACGCAGCTGCCTGCTCGCGAAGACGGAGTGCTCCCCAGGGTCGCCCCCAACCCCGCCTAGAACTGGGGACGCGGGCTACACCTGGGGCATGGGGAAACTCGGCAAACTAAAGAGTTGGGAGAACTCTGTGCACTTGAGTTTTTAGGGGATGACCGAAGTCCTTCCCGCCTCACCCAGTTTCTCAAGTGCCTCCGAGGAACGCAAAGCTGCGTTCGGGGGGCAGGACCACCAATGCTTTGCATCCCTTTCCGCACGCGCGGGGTGCGTGGGGCCCGGAGCACGGCAGGCCTTGGCCGCCTCTGAGTGCCGGGCGGGCTGCGGAACCCACCGCCCTGATCAGCTTTCTATAGGGGCACCAGCTGGTGGAGCCACCTCCTCGCCCAGCCGGCCTGCTTCCTTGAGTTCTCTCCTAGGAGTCCGCAGTGCCGGGTCTCCCCCTAGCCAGGCCGGTGACTGCGCCATTTAAGAATCTAGTGCTAGAGCTTTCCTCTTCTCTCCTAGTCCGTCAGTATGTAATAGAGATGACGAGGAGCCCCTTCTGGGAACCAGCTTTATACATCAACCGTTGCGGTGAAGAAGCGGCAGAAACCACTGTTTCACAGATAGGTAACTGAAGTTTAGAGGGTTAATGACCTGCCCAGTGTACAGAGGCCACATTTTCTCCGTCAGGCCCCTTAGGGGTCCGTTCTCTCATCAAAGCCCACTCTCAGAAAGGGAGGGTCTAACATACTCTTTCACACCAGGGTGTTAATGATACACCTAATGTGTTTGTGTCTGCAATTGATTTTAAATAGGAAAGCCCCAACATGTGCTGTTGTGTAGTGTTTCTCGGTGTGAGAGAAACCGATAACCTCCACTATTTTAAGGGCAAAATTTTCTCAAACCTCCCCAGTATTGGCTTAAATTAGTTTCTTTTATAATGTTACCTTACTATATATAAGCATTAAATCAGATACACATTTCTGTTACAGCTTATGAACAATTCTGGAATAAAGCCAAAACAAATTTAAAAATTAATTATAAAAATCCCTTCCCAATACATTAGTAATGTAAATTAGTGATTAGTAATGTTAAATTAGTAATGTTTACTCAACTACTATTAGCATCATGTGGTACTGACTACCCAGATATGGGTACATTTGAGCTCTGGGTGGCTCTCCTGCTCTCAATATTGACACAATTTTCTCATTTCTTTCCTCTGTTCCAGCAACCACACCTTTACTCACACCCTTTGTCATTATAATATTTGGCTTTCACTTGACTCTAATATATATAATATATATATGTATAATATTATATGTGTTAGCTTTGTGGGGTTTTTTTAAAAGATTTTTTATTCATTTGAGAGAGAGAACAGAGCAAGTGAGAAGGCAAGTGGGGAAAAAGGGCAGAGGGAGAGGGATAATCAGAATCCCTGCTGAGTAGGGAGCTGGACAGGACCCTGGGATCATGACCTGAGCCAAAGGCTTAACTGCGCCCCCCAGGCACCCCTACACTATTCCTTTCTTAATAGCACGGGGGGTAAAGTTATAGCTCTGGGCACCAAGGCGCAGCCCACATAGACACTGAAATCACAAGGCAGTTCTTGGTATTAGATGGTTATCCCAACGATCCAGAATGTGTTTGTATTCAATCTATATGAAAACTACAAAGAAAAATTAATTATGGATCTCCAAGGGTCCACAGCTCCCAACTGGAAAAACATCATTAAAAGCCAAGTACCTTCCTTAATAGAGGAGCTGGAGTTGGAACTGGAAGGAGAGGATGAAGGGAGACACTTCTCAACCATGCTTGAGTATCATTAGTTTTACCCCAATTCATATATTTATTGAGCATCTGCTACATGCTCACCATGGTGGTAGGCACCAAATTAAAGAGATGGCCAGAGGAAGCCAGTACAGCAACATAATTAAGAGTGCACCAGAGGCATTTAACTATGTGAGTACTATTCTGACCTCTGTCATTTATTAGCTGTGTAGCTTTTGGCTTAACCCTTCTGTGCCTCTGTTTCCTCCTCTGTGAAATGGAGACTACCTCATTGGGTTATTTCAGGAACTGAATGAATTAATATACATACAGCGCTTAGCACACCACCTGACACAGAGTAAGTCCTGAATAAATATTAGCCACAGTTATATCTGTTATATGAGAAGAACAAGCCTTAGCTTTGCTTTGGAGCGGGCTCTTTCAGCAGGACCTCAACCCACACTGACATTCATGACTCCTTTGTCCTGATAGTTTAAAAAATTACACTGTAACCAATTTGGGGAGCTAGGATGGTGGAAAATAAGATCATTATTCCCCTCACTCAGAAAGAGAAACTGAGGCACAGAAGGATCCAGGAGCACATCCCTTCCCTATCACCACTCCCATAGCTCATCTCAGGTCTGATGCTCCCTATCCAAGGAAGCTCTAACTACAGATGATCCCTGTGAACTCAGGGCTTAAACAAGCACCACCCACTCCTGTTGTTTCCTGAGGCTGTCAAGAGTGAAATGAAAGGGATACTACATGGTTCTTAGGTTATCATGGTAATTGCCACAGGAACACAAGCAACAGATTTGTAGTGTGTCTTGATCTCCAAGAGAAATAGCAGATGCCCTCCTGCTGAGCCTAGATATTTGTCTTTATGTATTTGACACACTTTCCAGTTCCCAAAACAAAAGCAAAACCAGAAAAACCAAAACCCTCCCTGCTTCTTAAGAACTCAGTTCAAATCCATGTTTGTAATTGTCAAATACTTTTCATGTGCATAGCAGTCCAGTTGTCAAAAATGCATTCAGGGGGCGTCTGGGTGGCTCAGTGGGTTAAGCCTCCGCCTTCGGCTCAGGTCATGATCTCAGGGTCCTGGGATGGAGCCCCGCTCTGAGCCCCGCTCTGGGCTCTCTGCTCCGCAGGGAGCCTACTTCCCACTCCCTCTCTGCCTGCCTCTCTGCCTACTTGTGATCTCTCTCTCTGTCAAATAAATAAAAAATCTTTTAAAAAAATGCATTCAGGGCAAGTCCCCGTGTTTCCTGAGTGCTCACTCTGTATAAGGTGACTGTGAGAGAGAGCAAGAGGAGAAAATCTCCCTCACCTCAAGGAAGGTATGCTGTGGATATTAACAAGCAAACAACAACAACAACAACAACAACAAAAATCAAATACAGGAACAAGTGAGATACAGACTGGATCAGGCTCCAGCTAGAGAACAAAGAAGAGGGAATCAATAATTCCCACTCTGGCTTCCAAGAAGTGATGGAGTTTGAGGTGGAGCTCAAAGGCTTTAGCAAGCCTTTATCTCATTGAGAGAAGTTAATAAACTTCATCTCATTGAGTGCCTTCACTGTGTAAATGAGCGAATCAGTGGATGAATGAGGGGGCAGAACCAGCACTGGATTGTAATAATTATGACTATTGTTTATTGAATACATACTATGCGCCAAGTAGCGTGAAAAAAACTTTACTGCATGTAATCTTCAAGACAAACAGAAAAAAAAATAGAGATCAGGATTATCCCCATTTTGCAGGTGAGGAGACTGAGGTCCAGAGCAGATCGCTAAGACACCCACTGTTATACTACTGAGTAACACGGATGGGACTTCTGCCCAATCTGTCCCACTCTTTCATCAACTTTTCCACTCATCATGTTTTAAAAAATCTTTTTAAGAAGTTTCAACTCTTGCAGTTAAAAAATCAAAGTCATATCAACCTTTAGGGATAAACCTTGGGATATTTAAAATAACGTTTGGAAAACTGAACCACATTTCTAATTGCCAGCATTACACTTTGTTCTTGATAGAAATCATCTTTTTTTTTTTTTTCCTTCTGTTTATGTCCCAATTATAAACCCTGGCCATACTGACTTCTGTGGTAGTACTTTGATCTCAAAGAAAGTCAAGGTCTTCTGCAAGAGAATCAGGATTCTTCGTGGCAGCAGATAAATTCCTTTCCGGCATGTCTGAGCTTCATCAGTTCATATTCAGGCATTACATCCGCCCCCAATCACAGGCACACCTTATTGGTAGGAAAAACTGAGGCTTTGCAGTACAGGGTGTCTGCTAGTTAGAATCTGGTCTCCAGTGAACTGGCCGACTCTTCTCTCATGCTGCTGTGCTGCTTCCCCGACCTGCCTTTTCTCGAGCTTACAATAAGGAGGTTGAATCAGCTGCTGATGTCGCTCCAGCTCTAAACATCCTTTGCATTCTTCCTTTTGTTCCTATTGTGCGATCACTAAGTAATGTCCTGTTAAATGACCTTAGAGCAGCAGACAAGATGATTGAATGCAGGTAGATGAGAAACCCAAGGCCATCTCTAAACCTGAACAGCTAAATACTGTTTTGAAGGTTATTTTTTCCTGAGGCTGAGCTCTGTAATCAGCTTCAACAATTTAAGTCAGTTCGAAAGTTATCAATGAGGATTATTTCTAAGGAAATACATTTACATACTTAAAAATCATTTCCATGGGGTTTCTTCATGATAATGTGGCTTCTTCTGTGGTGTATAGTATGGGTCTAGAAGTTTACTGGGGTAAGTGGGGCTTTCAGCTCCATGTAGTGAGTAAAGAGAGTTGAAATGAGAGACAATACAGGAGATTGG